TTGAAAAACACAAGATTCATTGATACAGACCGAAANGAAAAAACGGAGAAAAAAAAAGAAATAGAGGGGGTCGTCGATCGGATAAATTGAAGATTTGGAGTTATATTTTGTGATATTAACCTTCATTTAATCGTAGTAGATGTTGATTTTTTGTGCTGATGGGTATATGTATATTTTCGTTTTTTTTAGATGGATTCGAGCATGATGATTTTACTGATGTATTATAACCTGTTATAAACCGTTAATATAATACACATATACTGTACATGTTATATACCTATAATATACCTGTTATATATTGATAATATACTATTATATATTGATAATATACTATACATATACTAATATGTGCAACACGATCACCTTTTGTAACTGATTATATAATATACATATAATTTTATACAACACATATACATATGCTATATTGGTTATATACTTATAATATACTAATATAGTTAATTTTTTATTCAGTGCATCTTTATCCTGTGATATACATATAATACACATATACTGTACATGTTATATACATATAATATACATGTTATATGTTGATAATATACTATACATATACTAATATGTGCAACACAATCACCTTTTGTAACTGATTATATAATGTACATATAATATTATACAACACATATACATATGCTATATTGGTTATATACTATAAATTATAATATACTAATATAGTTAATTTTTTATTCAGTGTATCTTTATCATGTTATATACCGATAATATACTATAATTTATTAAGCAGAAGTTGGTAGTTTCGTTGGCACCGTTTATCGGTTTTTTTCGAGCAGAAGTTGGTAGTTTCGTCTTTGCCAATGAAGAGGGTTTTTTTTGAATTGAGAGAGGTGAACGTGGGGCGGTGGTGGTTTTGGAGAGAGTGAGAAATGATCGCACATTCAGATAGAGAACAAAATTGGTTCCTTTTTTTTTGGTAAGTAAATAATTAATTTTAATTAATTATATCACTGCATTTGGAGAGTGAGAAATGATTAGCATTAATGACTATATTCAGAGGGAGAACCAAATTGGTTCCCTTTTTTTTGGTATGTAAATAATTGACTTCAATTAATTATATCACTGCATTTAATTTGTGCGGATAATTCATTAGAAACGGTTACATATTGATAATTCATGTTTTAGGTATAAATGAAATATTTTATGCATGTTTTAGTAAATTTATAAATAAGCTTATAATAGATGCACAAGTGTAATATATATCATAATGCTATCTAGCCGGACTGATTAAGTGGGCTTCTCTGGGCCTGCAAAATGCTATCTAGCCTGACTTTAAGGTTCTCTGCATAATGCTATCCAGCCCAGCTTTTTTCCCAACCATGCATGATTCATGAGAGCTCTTTTTTCTTTTCTTTTCTCAATTTTCTTGTTATCTTTCGGACATAATTTCGGACCCGTACCTTTTGAAAATTCTTCTCTTGATTAAAATAGGGAGAATAAATGAATAATGCCAATTATTGAAACGCTAGAATATCCTGTACGAAAATAATTTTACCACACAAATAGCACCCTAAACAATAAAGTAATAAATATATAAGTACATAACATTTTTTTTTGTGGGGACCACCAAGAGAAGAATTGTCCGCACGTTTTCGCATCTTAATTCTAATAATTTTAGTCACATTCGTTTCCTCATTATTAGTATAATCTCACGAACACTAACACGTAAAAACATGCAGCATTTGGCATGTGCAGGTGCTTAGCGCTAATCCCAATGTTTTTGGACCTCACTTGGTTTTAAAATAAGTGCATTTTTCTGATGAAATAGAAGAGTTTGTGTGATTTTGAAATATATCGTCATTAATTTTTTCTAGAATCATTTTTTTATTTATGTATTTTTGTTAACAATTTTAAGAGAATTAGAAGTCAATCAAAATTATTAGAGCAGTGTTTTTGTAGAGAAATTATATAAAAAATATTACAAGGTAAAACTTCGAAACTACGTACTATATGCTATTTACTAGATACTTACTGCAATCTATTTTCTGTTCATACAATTAGTTATCGATTATAAGTTACCAGTTAAATGGCCCTACATATTCTAATGTTATGGTTGTGCTTGGTAATTAAAGTTTTGAATTTTTAATTAGAGAGTTTGGAGTCTAATTATTAGAAATTTGGCAATGTGAATAGTTTATTTGAGAAGTTTGATTAAAAGAGTTTTGATTGCCTATTTTTTTGTTAGAAAAATAAATTATGAATAAGTTTGTTCCTTTTGTGAAGCCGATCCATATGATGCAGAATTCACCAATCAGAACCATATATCTCATCATGTATGGACACAAAAGGTTGAGTACTAAAATCGGGTAGTGTATGGACACAAACAATTCAATTTCACTTTACTCCAAATAGCATCTTCTTCAAGTGATAGGCCTGTCGAGGAATCTTCCATTATTACATAGATTCAATGAGCATGCCAAATCTTTCTAAAATGAGGAAAACAATTAATTATAGAAGATCCTAACAAGAAATTTGTAATTTATATGCTCTTATTATTTATAATAACTTGTTTTACTCCGTGCATTTGCACGAAATGCGATATAATAGAAGAGAAAGTAATTAAAAATATACAATAAAATAAAAAACATAACTTGATAAATGAGAAAAAAAAAATTTAAAAAAACGAATCTAAATATTATTAAACACTTCTTTATATAAAACATTGGTGGTTTTCACATCGTCAGAATCTCCATCACAGCAAATCATTATCATTAAATCTCTTCGACTCGTGACTCTAGAATTTGATTTTTCAAAATATGTGATGCGTCTTTGTAATATCCGAAAAATTATCTTTTATCATGGTATGACTGCAATAGAAAATATAGATATTTGTAGTCATTTTTAATTTGTTTTGAAATATGTATTTATACAATACCAAAAAATATATAGTATCAAAATAAAAATTAAAATATTTTGTATTTCATGATATAAAAAGGCGTTACAGAAATGAGCACTATGCAAAATGGGACCTGTCAAAATAAATTGTGTAACTCAAAGTTACATATCTATATATATATATAAAGAGGAGCAACATAGCATTTAATTATATTATCATGCATTAAATTTTATTATCCCCCCAAAATTTTTAATATTCAATTTTATTTTTAAGTTACAAAATAACTTGCTTAAATGTCATAAATTATGAGAATAAACCAATTAAAGGGAGTTACAAATTGTACTCAAATTTTGAGAATTATTTTCTTAATTCATATTTTTTCATGAATTAAATTATGATTTTTTTTTTATATTGTTATCTTTTTAAAATATTATTCTCTGTGCAAATGCACAGGTTGATTACTAGTTATTATTAAATGGTGAACTTATTTTTATTAAATGAACAGCAATTTTTATTAAATGAACTCATATTATTATTAATTGCTTGTTAAATAAAATTTGTTGAAGTTTGCCAGCAATTATAGATGATTTTTAATGTATGATTTTTTTGAATAATATTCACATTTGTTCAAATAGTAAGTCAAGCTAATTATTACGCCGTACGACCTAACACGAGACTGCGAAATGATACGTCAGGGGGTCACCTCGAATATGTACTATCTAGAGTCTTTTTACCACATTTTACACAGCAGTTAAAAGGACAGAAATTCTATGGCGCCCATATAGGCACCATATGGTGCCCTAATTTCACGATCCAACGCCTAATATCCATTCTATCAATTCTACAATGAATATTAGGCGTTAGATCGTGAAGATTATGGTACCATATGGTGCCCATAGTCAAAAGATTTTCTTATACATGTGTACAAAAGAATTAAAAACATGTGAAACGCTCATTTCAAGTTTCAACCAAACAAAANTGGTAGCTAGGATTGTCATGCTCATGTTACTCGAAACTTGCAACCCTATCAAACCAAAAGACAATTTTATGATAAAGAAAAGTTAGAGTCATATTTAACCCAGAAAAAATCTCTTCTTATTCACTCCTTTTTCAATACCTATATAACAAAGGTTTTTAGATTAAATTAAACTTATTAATAACAAAGATTCCCATTCACAACAATACTACTAATAAAAAATAATGCTAATTAACTACCAAAGGTCTGTAGAAGAAATTAAACGACTAATAACAAAGATTTCCCACTAATTAACAGTGATGCTGACAATAATCTTATTTTTTTTTTTTTAATAAAAAAAGAATAAAGGATTCCCACATGGGAAAAATCAAAAAATAGAAAGGAATGTTAGAAAAATAATATAAAAAATACACGGGAATCCTACGAACTGATATGTAATTTTTCAGTTCTTACAAATAATCTAAAAATAGAAAATTACAATCGAACTGAAAAAATAAATTACAACTGATAAAATCAAATTACAACCGAAAAAAAAATACAGAAAGAATTTAACCGAGGCGAATAAAACTCTTTCCGCAAGAAGAATACGCCCCGTGTGGCTGCTAACGGTTCAGGCGTAACTTCCCCAAAGATACAACGGCAAACATCTCTAAATCTGTAGCACACCAGATTTACGAACTCCGGCGAACAAGAACGTAGTCGAGAATTGAGCACTAAAAAAATAGAGATAAAAATATAAATATTATTTTTTTTTTCTTTCACTTTATTTCTTCTGGCGTATTGTTTCTTTCTATTTTTTTCTTCGTTCTCCTGTGTGTCCCTCTGAATCCATCAATTTATAGATAGGTGCAAAACATTCTCCACGCGTAGCATTTAAGAGTTGGTTGATAATGACTCATTAAATGCCATTATTAATCTTAAAGATTGCAGCAAATCCTAACACTCATTGACAATTTGCATAACCTCCTGACACACTCCACCATCAATATGCCGCCAACTATATTTATTACACTCAATAATACAACAAGGAACACAAGAATCTTTTGGTACGAGAGAAAACTTGTACCAAATCATTTTGATTTAACTCACACCACACAACACTTCTTAGAAGCCCTCATCGCCAATAATAAAAGGGAAACCAAAAGGGTGAACAAACTTCACACAAAAACTAGCAAACAGCGACAAGTTTTTTTTTTAAGAAAATGGCCAAGCCTCACGTGCTCGTCGTGACCTATCCAGCACAGGGTCACGTGAACCCAATCCTCGAGTTCTCCCAGTGGCTGGTGAGTCACGGCCTCCGAGTCACCCTGGTCAACACCGAGTTCATCCAGAAGAAGCTGACCGGGTCGACCGGCGCCGTGCAGCACGGCAGGGACCTGGCCATGGTCAGCATCCCCGACGGGCTCGAGCCGTGGGACGACCGGAAGGACCTCCGGCGGAACACGGAGGCCTTCTACGGCCGAGTCCCGGCGGCGGAGCTCGAGTTAGTTATTACGAGGATGAACGAGGACGAAGGGGGAAGGATCGCCTGCGTCGTGGCCGACGTGGCCATGGCGTGGGCCCTCGACGTGGCGGCGAGGAAGGGGATCCGGCGGGCGGCGTTCTGCACGGCGCCGGCGGCGATGACGGTGCTGTTTTTCCACACGGCGAAGATGATCGCCGACGGGGTGATAGACGGCGACGGTGAGGGAGTCCATAAGTATATGTAGTAAATTGAATTTTGAACAAGCGTTTCTGAGCTTCTAATTCACATTTTATTTTAAAGATTATATGTAGAGTCCAATTTTATTTTTATGCCACATCTATTTATAATAATAATAATAATAATAATAATAATAATAATAATAATAATAATAATAATAATCTATATCTATATCTATATATATATATATAAAGAGGTTGCAGGAAAAATACATTAATAGAAAGTTTGACCAAATAAATATAATGTTTGACTTACTATTAATGGAAAGTTTGAAAAAATACATGTGAATCTTAGTAAAAAAAATATGAATCCTATTTTTTTTGGTAACTAATTTGGAAATTCTTATGGCAAAATTTGAAATCCATTTTTTTCGTATCATATTTTTTTTTTTTACCAAAATTTAAATCATATATTTATTGGTAACAAATTTGGAGATTCTTATGCGAAAAATATGCCAATTAAATGACAATAATTCTAAATACAAATTAACTTAAAAATCGTACAAATTGGATACAAATTTAGGAAACAAATAGTTGTATAATTCTTAACCAATTCTTCCAATCTTATTGAATAATTTTTTATTTAAAAAAAAGTATGTAAATTGGATAAAACCACGTGCAATTTTATTTTAGAATCAAACTGATATTTGGACGGGATGTACATTCAAAATTGTGTCCACATTTTTTGGCAACAAAGGCGGTTCATCTTTGATATTTAAAACCACCTTATTCAATTATTTAAAAAAATTGTGTGCAACTTTTCAAAATTTAAATCAGTATTCTTATGTTTTTTCTTAACCATGTTTTACTGAGATATTGGTAAGTTCATCTCATTTTTATTTTTGGTTAAGTTCATATCATTTTCTTTAGGAAATGGACAGTTGCATAAACATTAACAAACTGTTTCAATTCAATTTGTTTGGTAAAAAAATTGATGTAGTGTTAGGAAAATTCGGTTGCATTTTTTGGAAAAATTGATGATTTTTTCATTTGGTTTAAAAAAATAATCGGATCAATTTGTTTGATATAAAAATCGGCTTATTGGTAGAAAAATCGGTTTCATTTTCAGGAGTAATTAATGATTCTTTTAATTTTTCTTAATTGAAATTTAGAATTAGATTTAAAATAAATAATGGATGAAAATCGCTAAAAATTACTACTTTTTTCTACTATAATTAGTTAAGTAATAAGATCCTTTAATTTTTTTAAAATTTGTTAACTAATAACTAATAATATACAATTTTAGATAAAATTCGAACAACTATGTAGTATTTTACGTGACAATGAATCAAACCAATAAGTGTTTAATAACATATAAATTTCATTTTAATGATTTTTTTAATGTCATGAGACAATTTAAATACAAAAATACCTTTTAAAAAATAAATAGGTAGTAAATGCTCCAGTGCATCGCACGGATACTGTACTAGTAATAATAATAATAATAATTCATGATTGCAGGTGAAATTTTGAAGCACCAGGTAATCCAGCTGTCCCCAGACATGCCGGCCATGCACACCACCGACTTCATCTGGGCCTGCATCGGCGACAAGCCCACACGCAAAGCCTTTTTCCACTCATGGGCCGTAAGCCTCCCCTGGATCCAATCCGCGGACAAGATCATCTGCAACTCGGCCCACGAACTCGAGCCCGGCGCTTTCTCCCTCCACCCGGAGCTCCTCCCCATGGGCCCCCTTCTCGCCACCAACCGCCTGGCCGGCAAGATCTCCGGCAGCCTCCTGCCCGAGGACTCCAGATGTCTCTCGTGGCTCGACCGCCACCCGGCCGCCTCAGTCGTCTACGTGGCCCACGGCACCTCCACCGACCACGGCCCGGCCCAGCTCGTCGAGCTTGCTTTGGGCCTCGAGCTCACGGCCCGTCCCTTCCTTTGGGTCGTGCGGGACGACAACCAGAAGAAGCTTCCGGAAGGTTTCGTGGAGAGGGTCGAGGAGCGAAGGAATATGGTAGTCCGGTGGGCCCCACAGCAGGAGGTTTTGTCCCACCCGTCGGTCGGGTGCTTCGTGAGCCACTGTGGGTGGAACTCGACGGTCGAGGGGGTTTCGTGCGGGGTTCCGTTCGTGTGCTGGCCGTACTACGCGGACCAGTGGCTCAATCGGAGCTACATTTGCGACAAGTGGCGGGTGGGGTTGGGAGTGAGGAAAGACGAGAGTAGTGGGGTCGTGAGGAGAGAGGAGATTAAGGAGAAAGTCGAGCGGGTTTTTGGGGACCAAGGGTTTAAGGAGAGGGCGTTGGATCTCAAGGCGAAGGTTGTCGGGAGCGTGAAGTCGCGTAAGAATATGATTAGGTTTGTCGAGTGGATTAAGGATGGCGCGTATGGTAACTAACTGGTAAAGTGGGAGTTTCGATCGACTGTTTGTGTTGAGTTGGAATAAGTTCTTGTGTGGTCTTGTTACCTAAGAAAACCATGGTGAAAGTTCTGTACTGCAATTGCTAATGTGCTTGTCTATTGTAAGTTTGTGATGAGTAAATAAATATTGTTGTCTTGACCATGGAAAAATTGTCTCTACTTTCTTTTGCGTGTGCTTATGTTTGAGCTAGTTTTTACGACTGGCTATCTTATGTACTTCATTATTTAGGTTTACTCTTATGTACTTCATTATTCAGGTTTACTTGCCTCGACTCGCCTCGAGTTCAACTCGATTCGTTTGTTTGAGCCTGTTTAGTTAACAAACCATGAAACCTCGCTTAGCTAACAGATCGAGCTTACTTTATGGCTCGAATAAAAAAATTTATACAATTTTTTACTGTTTAGCTAGTTAATGCTCGAGCTTGGCCCGTTGATATTGATAAACAAGCCGGACTCTTGCTCAAACTTAATTACCTACTTGTTTAGTTCACGAGCTCGTCTAGTTAAAGGCTTGACCTCTAGTTTGAGTACTATGAGATTAAGCTCATTTACATCCCTACATACAATTAAAAAAACTTGAGCTCTGACTCGTTTAGTTAACGAGGTTAGCTCGAGTTCCATGAGATTGAGAAGTAACTACTAGTTTTTCATGATTATTGGGGAACGGCCAGCACGAAATTTGTAATTTATATGCTCTTATTATTTATAATAACTAGTTTTACTCCGTGCATTTGCACGAAATGCGATATAATAGAAGAGAAAGTAATTAAAAATATACAATAAAATAAAAAACATAACTTGATAAATGAGAAAAAAAAATAATTTAAAAAAACGAATCTAAATATTATTAAACACTTCTTTATATACAACATTGGTGGTTTTCACATCGTCAGAATCTCCATCACAACAAATCATTGTCATTAAATCTCTTCGACTCGTGACTCTAGGATTTGATTTTTCAAAATATGTGATGCGTCTTTGTAATATCCGAAAAAGTATCTTTTATCATGGTATGACTGCAATAGAAAATATAGATATTTGTAGTCATTTTTAATTTGTTTTGAAATATGTATTTACACAATATCAAAAAATATATAGTATCAAAATAAAAACTAAAATATTTTGTATTTCATGATATAAAAAGGCGTTACAAAAATGAGCACTATCCAAAATGGGACCTGTCAAAATAAATTGTGTAACTCAAAGTTACATACCTATATATATATAAAGAGGAGCAACATAACATTTAATTATATTATCATGCATTAAATTTTATTATCCCTCCAAAATTTTCAATATTCAATTTCATTTTTAAGTTACAAAATAACTTGCTTAAATGCCATAAATTATGAGAATAAACCAATTAAAAGGAGTTACAAATTGTACTCAAATTTTAAGTCATACCCACTCATGAAAATGGCCGGATGTATTAGCATAAAAAAAATGGTTGTAACGGCTCTTCCATAACAATTACTTGATCAAAATCAATTACTTGGCCGGATGATTTTTAATGTATGATTTTTTTGAATAAATATTCACATTTGTTCAAATAGTAAGTCAAACTAATTATTACGCCGTACGACCTAACACGAGATACCGCGAAATGATACGTCAGGGGGTCACCTCGAATATGTACTATCCACAGTCTTTTTACCACATTTTACACAGCAGTTAAAAGGGTGTATGTGAAAATGTTTTTCACAGCAGTGAAAGCCTAATTTCGAACTCTTTCTACAGTCAAAAGATTTTCTTATACATGTGTACAGAAGAATTAAAAACATGTGAAACGCTCATTTNTGGCATGGTATCGTGAGATTTTGACATATAATGGCTAAATTCTTAATATGCTACGTCAGCAATTCCTATGTATAAATATATTGTTTTTTAATAAACTTTTGGTAGCTAGGATTGTCATGCTCATGTTACTCGAAACTTGCAACCCTATCAAACCAAAAGACAATTTTATGATAAAGAAAAGTTACAGTCATATTTACCCCAAAAAAAAATATCTTCTTATTCACTCCTTTTTCAATACCTATATAACAAAGGTTTTTAGATTAAATTAAACTTACTAATAACAAAGATTCCCATTCACAACAATACTACTAATAAAAAATAATGCTAATTAACTACCAAAGGTTTGTAGAAGAAATTAAACGACTAATAACAAAGATTTCCCACTAATTAACAGTGATGCCGACAATAATCTTATTTTTTTTAAAAAAAAAAGATAAAGGATTCCCTCTTGGGAAAAATCAAAAAATAGAAAGGAACAAAAGAAGATTCTTTTACGGGAAAAAATAAAAAAAAGAAAAGTTGGACATAAAAAGAAAATGAAAAAAGGGAGTGGAAAAGAATAGAAAGACCATATTCGTTGAATACGGTTTTTGAATTCTTTTTTTATAAAACGTATTCCGTGAATACCGGTTCCTTTGTAAAAAAAATGTAAAAAACGTATTTAAGGAATACGTTTTTTAATTAAATTATACAATAAACGTATTTACGAAATACGTGCTTTATATGTTGGTCCACTCTCCCTTTTTTTTTGTTTTTTGTCCACTTATTATTTTTTTATTAATAAATATATAAATATTCAATCTCTTTGGTACGAGAGAAAACTTGTACCAAATCATTTTGATTTAACTCACACCACACAACACTTCTTAGAAGCCCTCATCGCCAATAATTAATAAAAGGGAAACCAAAAGGGTGAACAAACTTCACACAAAAACTAGCAAACAGCGACAAAAAAAAAAATAAAAAAAATGGCCAAGCCTCACGTGCTCGTCGTGACCTATCCAGCACAGGGTCACGTGATCCCAATCCTCGAGTTCTCCCAGTGGCTGGTGAGTCACGGCCTCCGAGTCACCCTGGTCAACACCGAGTTCATCCAGAAGAAGCTGGCCGGGTCGACCGGCGCCCTGCAGCACGGCGGGGACCTGGCCATGGTCAGCATCCCCGACGGGCTCGAGCCGTGGGACGACCGGAAGGACCTCCGGCGGAACACGGAGGCCTTCTACGGCCGAGTCCCGGCGGCGGAGCTCGAGTTAGTTATTACGAGGATGAACGAGGAGGAAGGGGGAAGGATCGCCTGCGTCGTGGCCGACGTGGCCATGGCGTGGGCCCTCGACGTGGCGGCGAGGAAGGGGATCCGGCGGGCGGCGTTCTGCACGGCGCCGGCGGCGATGACGGCGCTGTTTTTCCACACGGCGAGGATGGTCGCTGACGGGGTGATAGACGGCGACGGTGAGGGAGTCCATAAGTATATGTAGTAAATTGAATTTTGAACAAGCGTTTTTGAGCTTTTAATTCACATTTTATTTTAAAGATTACTAGTACAATTCCCGTGTATTACACGGGTGTTAGAAAGCTTTAATAAAAAATATTATATTTTTATTTTTTTTTAAACTAAAATAATTTAATTTTATATAAAACATTACTTTGGATTTAATTAAATTGTTAAATTATATTTTTTTAATCATAATAATTAAACACCCGTACATTAAATGAAAATGTCAACCCATGTTTAGGTTTTTTACTTATACCGTATAAAAATATCGATATTAGTTACTATTACATAAGTACAAAAATATATATCTTAAATAGAAATAATATGGTGATATGTATATGAATAAGTGTAGAATATGTTTATTTAATATTAAGCAAAATAGATTAATATTTTTACTTAATTAGTTGCCCAATACATCAAGTGTCGTATCAGTCGTACTTCACAGTTTTTTAACTTTATATGTAATTTTTGAATTTAGATAAATAGTTATTTATTTTTATTAGATTGACAACATACTGATTAGATTTGAAATAAATATTATTTTTAAAAAAATACATACTAATTTCTATTACTGTTTTGTATTTTATATATATAATATGGATGTTAAATCAAAAATCGTTAAAAGATAATCTGAGCCTGGTCTGATTAATTATAATATTTTTTTATTTGCTAAAAATATCATTTTATTGATCTTCCATACCAGACAAGTCTCAAATGCCAAATATTTATATTCCGAAAGCTATGTCTTATTTGAGAATTTGAAACATTTAATAATTGAGCATTGTTTAAAAAGTACTCACGAACTTAGATACATAAACAATAATAAGTTAATTTATTGCTAGTTTGCTACAATTAAATATTATATATTTGAAGATTACTTAGGTCAAAACTCGAAAATGCGGAGCAAAACATTCGAGATTAATGGATTAAGAATATATTATTATGATAAAAGTATAATTAATTTATATCCAAGCCTAACTCCAAAGCATGATTTTTTGCCAAATAGAAGTTCGAAGCATCAGAGTTTGCCACGTAGGCTCAACACATTTTCAAATTATATAGAGAGGGGATTATATATAGAGGGGACAGTAGAGTCCAATTTTATTTTTATGCCACATCTATTTATAATAATAATAATAATAATAATAATAATAATAATAATTCATGATTGCAGGTGAAATTTTGAAGCACCAGCTAATCCAGCTGTCTCCAGACATGCCGGCCATGCACACCACCGACTTCATCTGGGCCTGCATCGGCGACAAGCCCACACGCAAAGCCTTTTTCCACTCATTGGCCGTAAGCCTCCCCTGGATCCAATCCGCAGACAAGATCATCTGCAACTCGGCCCACGAACTCGAGCCCGGCGCTTTCTCCCTCCACCCGGAGCTCCTCCCCATGGGCCCCCTCCTCGCCACCAACCGCCTGGCCGGCAAGACCTCCGGCAGCCTCCTGCCCGAGGACTCCAGCTGTCTCTCGTGGCTCGACCGCCACCCGGCAGCCTCAGTCGTCTACGTGGCCCACGGCACCTCCACCGACCACGGCCCGGCCCAGCTCGTCGAGCTTGCTTTGGGCCTCGAGCTCTCGGCCCGTCCCTTCCTTTGGGTCGTGCGGGACGACAACCAGAAGAAGCTTCCGGAAGGTTTCTTGGAGAGGGTCAGGGAGCAAGGGAATATGGTAGTCCGGTGGGCCCCACAGCAGGAGGTTTTGTCCCACCCCTCGGTCGGGTGCTTCGTGAGCCACTGTGGGTGGAACTCGACGGTCGAGGGGATTGTGTGCGGTGGGGTGCCGTTCGTGTGCTGGCCGTATTACGCGGACCAGTGGCTCAACCGGAGCTACATTTGCGACAAGTGGCGGGTGGGGTTGGGAGTGAGGAAAGACGAGAGTAGTGGGGTCGTGAGGAGAGAGGAGATTAAGGAGAAAGTCGAGCGGGTTTTTGGGGACCAAGGGTTTAAGGAGAGGGCGTTGGATCTCAAGGCGAAGGTTGTCGGGAGCGTGAAGTCGCGTAAGAATATGATTAGGTTTGTCGAGTGGATTAAGGATGGCGCGTATGGTAACTAACTGGTAAAGTGGGAGTTTCGATCGACTGTTTGTGTTGAGTTGGAATAAGTTCTTGTGTGGTCTTGTTACCTAAGAAAACCATGGTGAAAGTTCTGTACTGCAATTGCTAATGTGCTTGTCTATTGTAAGTTTGTGATGAGTGAATAAATATTGTTGTCTTGACCATGGAAAAATTGTCTCTACTTTCTTTTGCGTGTGCTTATGTTTGAGCTAGTTTTTACGAGTGGCTATATTATGTACTTCATTATTTAGGTTTACTCTTATGTACTTCATTATTCAGGTTTACTTGCCTCGACTCACCTCGAGTTCAACTCGATTCGTTTGTTTGAGCCTGTTTAGTTAACAAACCATTGAAACCTCGCTTAGCTAACAGATCGAGCTTACTTTATGGCTCGAATAAAAAAATTTATACAATTTTTTACCATTTAGCCAGTTAATGCTTGAGCTTGGCCTGTTGATATTGATAAACAAGCCGGACTCTTGCTCAAACTCAATTACCTACTTGTTTAGTTCACGAGCTCGTCTAGTTAAAGGCTTGACCTCTAGTTTGAGTACTATGAGATTAAGCTCATTTACATCCCTACATATAATTAAAAAAACTTGAGCTCTGACTCGTTTAGTTAACGAGGTTAGCTCGAGTTCCATGAGATTGAGAATGAGTAACTACTAGTTTTTCATGATTATTGGGGAACGGCCAGCACAGGTTATTCTTGACGAATAAATAAATAATCTGATACAGGCTACAACAAGCAAATTCACTCGGTTCTGCTTTTTTCTTTTTTTCTTTTTTCCTAAGTTACACACGCAAAAACATCCTCAATCCAGATTCCGGGAAGTAGCATAAAAGAAAATCCACAACTCTTTATATAGCTTAATTCGAAATCCCGCATGCGAAAGAGACCACTTAGCAAATGAATCAGAAATTCAGAATGGCCGAGTTTCTGTATCCACCGGACGAATGGGTTCCCCAGTAAAAGGATCGAATTTGTACGGCTCGCCAGTATAAGGGTCGAACCTAATTTGACGTCGGGATTCACCAACTCTTTTATCATCTGAGCCAAGATTCACACCATGTCTAGCATAAGATAGTACAGACGAACCTGGTGCTGTCTGGACAGGTGGCGAAGGGAGAATCTCCTCAGTTCTTAACCCAACCCGCCCATAAGACATGGCTGGGACCGGTCTCAATTCATAGGGAGAAAGGGTTCTTTCTTCAAGCGTGTTTAGTTTTGGAATGTTGAAAATGTGGGGCCCGGAGTGATGACCTGGAGGCGGGAGTGGAGGTTTGTCATCTACTCTTCCAGTTAAGGTTCGACTTGATAGAGGATAGTCTGGAGGAGGAGGGCCTGACTCGTCTGCTCTTCGTATTAGTGTTCCACCTGGCAGAGGGTAATCTGGTAAATGTCGGCCGTTGACTTCTTGTGTTAGAGTTCGGTTTGGTAAAGGATAGTCTGAGTGTGGTGATGAATAGGCTGCGTAAATGTCGGGCCTGCAGGAAAATCGGCCGCCACAGAGTTATAAGCATCTTGGCACGTGTTCGTAAAACAGACTATGAAAGAGTTTCGCAGCAAAATTGCAAAAGTAACAATGTGGTTTGATTTAATTATTAAGGTTATGTTTGGTAAACTAAGTTGATAAGTAGCTCACAGTTGAATTTAGAGCTTATAGCTGATAGCTTATGACTTATGACTGAAAAGCTAACTTATATGATAAAGCGTTTGATAAAATTAGCTGAAATAAAAATTTTAATGGGCTTAGCTACCTAAGGAAGCTTATTAGATAAGCTCGAGCTTTTTAAAAACGCTCGTCCTACCAAACCAAACTTATTTGAATACAAGAAGCTTATAAGCTAATCAAATAAGGTATAAGCTAGCTTATATGCTTACCAAACTCAGCCTAAGAGGAAAATGCTCGGTGCACATAATTTTTGTACATAACGATGAAAAAACGAAAGGGCCCACCATATGTGTGAGTGTATGCACACCATTGTGAATAAAAAGTTATGTACATTGGAGTATTAGCCCGGTTTATCGTTAAAACATCAGTCTGTCTTTCGAAATTGCAAATGCCTCCCTTAACATTTGTTTCTTTTTCACATAATGCATCTTGATGTATCTGTGTGTTTGAAGGAAAACTGGAGTCTTCTTATTCTTAGATTTCAATTTATCATGTTGAGATAACTGATAAAGTTATCAGGAACACTGAGGGCCAGAAAACAAACCTAGTTGCTGCAGATAATTGGGTGTGAGAGGTAAAAGGAGCAGTATGTGGGGACACTTGATGCGAGATGCCAAATAGCCTCGACTCATTCCTAGTATCTTCGGCAACTCGAGGGAAAACGTCCAGGCTCTGGTTTGATCTTGCTTTTTCAGCCAGATGCTACAATGGATTGTTTAATGGAAAGTTAAGAGTAGTAAAACGTAAAAATCGGGCACCTGAATAAAGGTCAGTTACATACTCTAGAAATCAGTCCATCTAAATATTCACCCTTATTTGGCAAAGCTGCTCCAGAGAACATGAACTGCAAAGAAGGATGGAGAGAAATTGAAATGTTACAACTCATCTTAATGCAAACAAACATTAATATTATTATCAACTATATATATTATATAATGTGTATATATGTAGTATCTGCTGGAACCTGGTCAAGGATAGAAATAGCATTAGGCTCGGGTAGTTCCTTGAGACTGCGTAAACTTTTAACATCAATCTGTCAACAAAGAGGGAAAAAAAGCAACAAGCAAACTCAATATTAGCATAGAAAGATAGTGCACTTAAACTGAATGCAATCCGCCGGGGTAAATTCATTATGCTGAGTTCCAGCATAAAGAATGAAGTGTTAGTGAAAAGCAAGGAAATGATAATACTAGGTATTAACATCGTAGAATAATTTAAAAATAGATGAAATGGCAACAAATAGAAAATTGTGCGCGTAAAGAGAGCGAAGCAAAACAAGTTCTAACACATAATCAACACAATAGCTTCTTCTAACTTTTGTACATCACTGCTATAAGTACGAACCTGGCTCACGCGTATATTTAGGACTTCGGGTGTTAATTTCATTACAAACACAAACTTTGTAACAATTTGGTAACTCACATCAAAACGAGTAGCAATTCCAAGCCGTAGAATTCGGAGTAAGCGCTCTTTAACAGCTAAAGGCAATGCTATTACGGCCTCCTCGTAAGGGTCAGAAGATTCAAATCCCTGTTAAGACAGAAAACACAAAGACCAGATAATAAAAGAAAAGCAAGATTGCAAGTTCAAAAAGTTGAAATATTACAAGAACAGAAAATACAGTGCTTGAACATTTACCCTATGGACTAGAGAACTATGGATATCAGGTCTCAAATGTTTAGAATGAGCCTGAACAGAAGTAGTTTCAGAGTTCTCATGAACTCGCTTCTTGTTTTTATCCATAGGTCTGGCAATTTCAACCTGTAGGAGGAAAATAATGGAAGAAGATACAGTAAATTAGGCTTCTTGTAATAATCAACACTTAAAAAATTAAAAAAAAAAAGAAAGAAAAATTGAACGGAGGTAGTTAAATGCAGACTTAGAGCTTCTAGAGCAATCCCAAGCACCTGGAGTTTATACAGTGGACCTCCATTAGGTCCATGGACTGTTTTCTCACTCAGTTCATTGACGGCTCTTTCAAGATCCTACACCAATATTTGGAAAAGAAAAGAAAGAAGAGAGAGAGAGAGAGAGAGAGAGAGAAAGAGAAAAGGAGAGAATGTAACTTAACCAACAACAGGAGCAAACGAACCAAAAAGGATTTCGTCCATATGTAATTGTGATATAATAGATACATAACTCCAATAAGAAAAATAAAAAGCTTTCTAAAGCAACCCCTCAAACTCCCAATAAGAACTGCCTACGGAACAATTGAACAAACTATATCACTTCCTGAATCTTGAAATCAAGTAAAATGCATAATAAGGAGAGATGAATCGTGGTAAGACAATTTTTTATGTCAAAAGATTGTGCCTGTATTCGAGGCATGTTGATTAGAAGTTATGTGTCAACCTTGACATGGAAAAATTCAACCCTCCTCTTTATCAGGTCATGATCCTATGTCACTGTTAGCTATCACATGTGAAAAATTCCCAGCACCCGATCTATTTACTTACAATCAATAGAATATAATCGGCGTCTTTTGAAAAATCCAGCCTACCTATTTAACTAAAACACAGAGCATACTAAATGATTCAAGTCCAGGAGGGAACTTAGAGACTTATTGAGTATAGACTACACAATCCAGATTGGTATGATCATGAGCATGCATACTTCACTAAGAGTCGTGTAAGAGGTCTTGGAAGTCTCTATTTTTAAAATATGCTTGACCTTGTATCAACTTAAAAATATAGAGAAAGGCATCTAAAAAGCCTTTTTCGCTGTAATGAGATTCAGATCCCAAGTCAGACCATGTGAACACAGAGGAGCTAAAATAAAGATCACCATTCATCTAGCACAGATAAAGACCACAAGGTTTACACTTATCCTGTGAAAAATAAACAGCAAAACTACACAGGCACATGAATATAAGCAAATGTAAATCAACTTACCAATCTCTCAAAAAAATGAACAAACCCAACTGCGGAGCTACCTTTTTTGGACACCACTACTTTCTCTATCTGGAAAAATGGTATCCGAAGAAAAAGTTTAAATAATGGACATCATGTATAAGAAATGACAAATAAGAGTTAAAGTATGTAAGACCTTGCCAAATGGCTCAAACAATTGCTTCAAATAGTACTCTTCTGCATTAAGAGGTAGGTTCCTGACAAATGCTACTTTTATCTGGAGAAGAAAAGAAAGGGGAAAAATATCATATGCAGGGAGGTTAGCTACAAAAATATACTCTAAAATATACTTGCAATGCAAAGGACAGTGATTAAAAACCTTAGCAAGTTCATTCGGATCAAGTTCACGTTCTTCTTCTGCCCACTGAACAACTGGGTGCAAATTCCCAAGACGAAAATCTGGTTGACAGCCCACCTGATGAGCACGTGCGGCTGCCTGTGATCGAGAATTTTGAAGTAGGCGGGTTCAATTTTATATATGGAAAGATTCGATTATATGTTTTTACGAGCCTCTGCGTAATTTAAATACATGATTGTAAATTATTGTGAAAGATTGAATGTTAAAGTATAACAAAAGCTGCCAGCAGGCATGTTTTGAATACTTATTACAGCAGAAGCTGAGTGTATCGTAGTTCAGGTGATATGTTAGCAGTTAATTTCAGTTTTATTCGCCCCTTGATGTTCAGTTGTTTATGAGCATCCACTGTAACTAGGAAGGGATGAGACAGATAGGAGAAGAAAGGGTGTAAAATATAGGATAGTCATTAGCTGGAGTTTGATATCAAATGACCATGCTTTGCTTAGCAAGACAATGGAAAGTTTAAATCGACAAGAGCAATCTTCTAAATATTTTACAGCTTGTATCCTCCTCAGGTATAGGGTAGTACAATTCTAAGAAATTCAAGCAGTTAAAAATTTAAAATACTTTATAGATCAGTGTGCTCCATTCACACGTAAATTATCAAGAACATAGAATGTTATTTTAATTGAGGTTTTGACTTGATACTGACAGAGCTTTAATCACATTGAACGATATCAGGGATAACTGGAGCAGGATATGCTTCAAGATTGAAATATAGGATGTGAAATGGATGAGAACTCATCAGAAATTATGAAAACAGAATCCAAGTATACTGGATACTCTAGAACAAAGAAGATTAGAGATCAGGAAACTGCACGGTAGTAATCCACACCATAGGACTGAATCAACTACATGAGACAAAGCATAACATATACAACAAAGAAAAGTTGACAGTCATTATACCATAAGTTCGAATGGACACTAAGGCCGTGCTTGTCTATAAAAAAAGCTCACAACCATTTTTCTGATTTTTTGTGTTAACTAGAGTTTACTAAAAAAAAAAGGCAGTATGATTAGTTTTTAGTGAGATTTTAAGAATGTATTAAAATAATATTTACAATAAAATGATTAAAATTGATTTGATGTAAAAGTAGGAATAAATTTTGGAAATGATAGGTAATTAAAATTATGTGAGTGGATGAATAGTGAATTAAAGTTGAGTGATGTCTAAGAATGATTGAGTGATATTATTTAATAATATTGAGGATAAGGGGTTGAGTTAAAGTTGAGTTAGATATTGAATTGAGATAGATTTTTTTCTANAAAACCGCATAAGCTAACCACATTGTGGAGTAGATGAGTTTGTTACACCAAGATTATATTGTTATACTTACGAGTTTTGTTAATGAATATATTGTTTTAGATGGATGTAAAGGCTTCTTTCAACGTACTAAATGTCCTGGTTTTTTACCATTGTTATGTAAGTTGGGGGATAATGGTACCTCAGGATGAAAAAGAGCGTGAATGATTATATTTCAGTAAAGAAAAATCTTTCCACATTCAGTGGGATGGTGGAGAACAGCATTTCCGCAAAGAACAATGGGAAGCCAAAGAGAATAAATTGAAGTATTTTGACAAGACATATCTCCACTGTGTGGACAAATGTCCAATCAGAGATCTATGGAAGAGGCGAAACAAGTGCCTTGCATATTGAAAACACTAAAGTTAATCTGAATTGAGACAGGAAAGGAAAGAGAGTGCAAAAACAGAGCATGGTTCAATTATTGGGGATACTACAAAACATATTGACGGACCGAATAGAAATAAGGTAACTGTTATTGTAAGGTTTCAATTTGCAATGACACAAGGAAATTAGTAGCATATTGTTGAATAATATAAAATAAGATTGTGGATTTATGGTTGAAGTTGGGATTGCACAAAATGAGGATAATATTTTTCAGAGGATAATTTTAGAAATCCACTTGCAATAGATAACAACAGTTTAATAAGCACCACAGAATTGTTTAAAAGTTTAGTTCTGGATCATAACTTCTTGACCACAATTTTTCAATATATTTTAACAAGGAATTATTTATATTTAACAAGGAATTATTATGAACTTGGTCTTTCGTAACAGAGATTAATTAGTGATGCTGGAACTGAGAACCAAAACCATGGACCTGAGCTTCTACCCTGTGTAATTTAAGATGCAACAGGAGAGTCAACTTTATTTCACCCGACACTCGGGAAAAACGATTGTTCAGGAATTTTAACAGGAGAGCACGAAATAAAGCAAATATAACTTACAGCATGGGAGAGAAATTTCACAAACGCAAAACCACGATTTTGTAGCTTTTGACCTGGTGGCGTGTCTTTAAAGATTGGGAGCTCAATGGATTCAATGTCTGGGAAAACCTGTAGCACAGGAAACATAATAGAGGGAGAAAACACTCATGGAAAAAAAAAAAATTACTTCATATGAAATTTTGGTTGTTAACACAAAAGCATGCTCACTCTCACACAAAAAAATGGAAATCAAATTATACCTGGAGAACAATTCTTTCAAATTCTTGAGCACTCCATGCTGAGGAGGATAAAAATAATGTCATGCATGGAGGCTATGAGTAAGCTAGGCGAAGATATAACATTAATACCCATTTCACTAAATCTCCATGAAAATGCTCTGAAGCTCATAAGCAATTATTAACATTATACAGATGCTACCCAACTTCACACGTACAATGATTTTACTTTCTGCTTCTAAAAGCAATAAAAGGACAACATGAAATGTATATTTGGGCAAAGGCACAAATAACTATCTAGTAGTAGAAATAACACAAAACAAACCTTTGTTAAGGTTCCCGAGATATAAAGTATCTTGCTCACTTGACGGTAGAACACCAATCTTCTTCCCCTCCAGCTGAACATGGATACAACAAAATAAGAATCATACAGTCAAACTAATGAGACCTTGTAGTACAGTAGAATCAAGTTGTTAAGATGATAAGACCTAAGCATACAGCCATACATTGACTAAAATGAAACTGCTCAAGATTCAGCTCAACTCGGCTTGTAAACATTTTTATAAGCTTGAAGTATCAATTATCCAATATTAAGCATTTCCTTCCATGATGACAAGGCTGAAAAACCTTTCAGATTCTAATACTATTCGTTTGGGATTTCGAATGACATTCTAAGACTATAAGATTTGAGACTTTTTAATATTTTCTGATTTAAGAGGGGGTGTATTTGTTTTGGATTACTAAAGACTTTCTAAAACTTCAGAAATCCTGGTGTGTTTAATTTTATTTTTAAAAACTTTTTAAGACTTTAGATATCCTGGTCTATTAATTTAGAGTTTTAAGACTTCTAAAAGTCTCGGGATATTCATTTGAGATTTTTAGAAGTTTTACAAAATCCTGAGTTATTTAATTTATTTGAGATTAAAATTTTTTAAGACTTTTCAAATTTGTTGGGATTTCTAAAAAAATATATGCGAAATCCCACTCCAAATCCCACCTTCAAAATTAAGATTTCACAGGATTCTTCCAAAATCTGAAAATCTTAAAAAGTCTCAAAATGTCACTCGAAACCCAAACGAATACAAGGGTGTATGACGCATTCAAAACACTTTCCTATGCAAAGGCTCATTCGAGAGAAAGGGATCGAAGTGCATTCACTGATTCAACTACATATTCTTTTCTTTTTATATTCTAATATGAATAGAAGCATTAAACTAATGTGAATAGGTCATATGAGATTTCTAAAGGCTTTTTAAAACTTTAAAAATTCTAATGTATTTAATTTAAAATTTTTAAGACTTTTAAAAGTCTCGGGGTATTCATTTGAGATTTTAATAAGAAGTCTTACAAAATACTGATGTATTAACTTATTTGAGATTTGGATTAGTTAAGATTTTTTAAGATTTGCTGGGATTTTAAAAGAAAAAAACTTATACGAAATCCCACTCCAAATCTCACCTTCGATTCCTTCAAAATTTGAAAATCTTAAAAAGTCTCAAATCTGAAATAGTCTCAAAATGTCACTCTCTTAAACGAATACGTAAAATATTCTCTTATAATCACAATCCAAGAGAAATAAGAGTTCCCATTAAAAATATTCAAATATTACATTGGAATGAGTTAAAAGCCTAAACTAAATTAAAGATAATGGAACAAAAACATTTTGGGGGAAAAAAAAAATCTTCTTCAAGAGAAGATACATAAGCTATCAAGATTAGAGAATCAAATAATTTGTGAACAGAAAAAATTCCTAAGAAATTAAATATTTCTCACCACCGTGCCGGATATTTCCCTCACAGCTCTGGCTGCAGATTCCTTCGTTGCGAACCTAACAAAGCAGAATCCCTACAAAAAATAAAAAAATATAATGACAGCAGTTAGATGGTTTGTGTGTGAGTGCGTGGGTGTGTGAAATATCGATGTACATATTTACATAGGTGTCAACAGGAAAGGTGAGTAATTAGAGATAATCATCCTCCAATAGACAACATGAATAAGCGCATTGGTTTACCTTTAAATTGCCTTTCTTGTCCCTCATCATGCGAAGTTCCACAATTTCTCCACAAGCGGAAAACACCTGAGAACATGGAAGATTTTCCAGAGAACACTGGTGTGTGAAGATAGACTGAAACCAAACAGCCAATCATACCATTATAAGAACTTATAAGAAACAAAAAAATATGAACAACAAGCTGTAATCACTACTTAAAAAGTTAAAAAACATACACATACAGGCAGATAGACACCAAAGCCTTGTTATCCTACTTAAGGCATTATAAGCAGAGGCAGATCAAGTTCTGGAGCAACATTATACTTGAGATCCACTTAATGCAGACAAATAGATACAACACAACTTTTGCAAGATAAACTGCACTAAACATAGCGTGTACCTAAATTTCCACAAATAATAATCTGCACACCCACATTTTCAATCTNAAAATCTAACTGACAGTGGATCAATGCATGTAATGATATAACACAACGAACAACTGCTCTTTGTTGATTTAGTTTTGCATGTCTTCAGGTTTAAACCAAATTTCCAGACATGAAAACCAATTGACGGGGAAAAATGAACCATTCAAGTTTAAACAATTCACAAACACTACAGTTTGTGAATATATTGAAATCTCATTCCATCCCATGGTTAGTCGATCAGCCAACTGACAAAGAAAGACAATAATACACAGCCTATTCATATATGTCAGTCAAGAATGCAAACCAATACAGCCAGCACAGCACTAGGCCAGCAACCAATTGACTGTTCCATTTACGAAGCTGATTCATTGTTTTTCTGCTTTTCTGTAGCTCCATCATTTTCACGAGCTTTCTTCATTTCACCAAATCATTTGAAAGAGCAGTAAAAATCAAACCTTGCGAAGTTTTTCCTCTGAAATGCTCCTAGGCAACCCACCAACGAACACTTCAGTTCCTCTAGCAGCATTTTCATCTAGTGTGGCAGATTTTCAAGTCCTCAAGTAAGATGATTAGAGCATAAATATGTGAAATAACTTACTAATACATTGCACGAAAAAAAAAATGTATATATAACGATATTCTGAGTGAAGACCATACGTTGATTTGTAGAATGTTGATTGGATGGAAGATTCATCTGTATTCGACACAACTGGAGCACCAATGAAAATAATGTGCAATAAATATATTGTGCATTACAAAATCGCAGATTCTATAACTCAGAAAAATAACACAAAGTAAAATTTCAGCTAACGACTCAAGAAAACAACACTTGGTTGACGTATAAAGCGAATAAATTGAATCCTAATTCGGCCCTTCTTTTTCTAACTCTCACGTTGTAGACTGCGCAACCCTCAATCAAACGGTAGAATTTCAGCAATTTTTTTTTTTTTTAATTTTTGGCCACAAGGGTATTATGCATCATGCATGATGTCTGCACAGCTTAAAAAAACGAGTATATATATAAAGCTAATACCTCTGAGATGATGAAAATTGGATGGCGGAAGCGATTGATATGAATCGTAAACCCTAAAATAGAGCTGTGTTCTTCAGATTGGGAATTTGATCTGTTGGCAGTGGGGGGGTTTATT